CACTGCTCAGTATCTGAAAAGGAGTCTTCAACTCTCTCTAGGATGCATTCTGGGAGTCAAGACTATGCGGGGCATGTCGAAACAAGTTCATGTGGGAACTGAAAGTGGCTGGACTCAGAGCACAGTCTCTTCCTCTCAGTTTGGGTTCTTTGTTTTACAGACAGAGTTGCAGATGGGGAGGGTTTACAAGGAGCAGGAAAAAAACATCATTCCTAAAACAATACTTGGGAACATGTAAAATAACCCAATTTTCCCTGTGTCTAGAAATAAAAGAACTAAGTAAAAGGCACTGCTTTTGAAAGAACACACACACACACAATCTTATACAAATGGCTGATTGTTTAACTGTACAGAGAAATGAAGTTCCCACATGCTACAACATGGATACATGTTGCAAATATGTTGCTGAGTGGGTTAAGTAGAAACAAAAGGACACATCCTGCCCGATCCCCACGAGGAGCAAATGCACAGGAAGCAATGGTGATGACAGACTACCAGGGGTGGGAGAGAGGGTGAGGGGTGCTGAAGGCTCTCTCCTAAGGGGCATGGAAACACCGGGAAAGACACTGGCTGTACATTTCATGCTAGCTACAAAGGGTTGAAATGGCAACATTTTATATAAAGAGACATTGGCTGTACTTTTCATGCCAGCTACAAAGGGTTGAAATAGCAACAGTATATATGTCAATGCAATTGTCTGAACTGGCTATTGTTTCCTCTCCTGAACATTTTCTAATAAACCACTACTATCTGGCACACTTCTTAAACTGACAACTCTTAGGAGGTCAAAAGGTAGCGTTTCTCCAGGGAGACAGCTCAGAAGGCAGGAAGAGGAAAGATGGAAGGTGGCAGCAGGAAGCAGAGGGAGAAGTGGGGAGAAGGCTGTGACACCGTGGGGATGACAAAGTCAGTCATCAAAATACGTCTGAACAGTGGTATGACTGTGTGCATCAGAAACCAAACGGGAACAAGGTAACACTCCACCAGCCACCCAGAGAGGCTTGGAAGCAAGACACCACAGGAACTGCTACTGGGGGCGGCTCTGTGCATGGGGGAGGGCTGGGACGGCAGGCACAGTGGCTTTATCACGTGTGTTATTCTTCCCCTCCTTGGTGGCAGTGGTGGTTTGCACATCAGACTGTTAACCACAAAGTTAGCAGTTTGAAACCACCCGCTGCACCTCTGGAGAAAGACAAGGCTTCTTATTCCCATAAAGAAGTGCAGTTTGTAGACACCCATAGGGTGTCTATGAGTCAGAATTGAATTGATGGCAGCATGTTTGGCTGTTTTCATACTAAGTGAAGAAGGAGCCTTAGTGGTGCTGTCAAGAACACACTGGACTGCTAACTGCAAGGTTTATGGTTCAAATTCATTAGCCACTTCCCAGGAGAAAGACGAGGCCGTCTGCTCCCATAGAGAGTTGTGATCTCAGAAATCCTGGAGGGAGGGCATGAGCTGGGTTTCGGGCATGCTCTGCGACAGTGCCAAGGTGAAGCTCCCTTTCTGCGCACACCTGTGCCATGTTCTCACTCACCTCCAGGGCCCTCTTGTAGTCGCCCAGGTGGAAGGCACAATAGCCCATCCACAGGTTAGTGTCCTCCTCTTCCTCCCCCACGTGACGTTTGAACTTCAGGGGAAAAAGTCATGGAAACAAACACATTTGTTTTTGTTTTTTTTTAATCTCTTCAATCATTTAGGGAACAAGCATCTTAACATTCTGGTTTCAAAAGATGAATGGTTTCTAAATACTCTTTACTTTATTGATGAATGATAGGAATGTATAAGTAACAGAAGCAAAACAACAGTCACTTCAAATAAACCGACATCTACAGGATGGAGCGTAACTGGCAAAGAATGTGTATTTTCAAAGACTGCACACTGACACTGCTATTTGCTATATTGACTTAGACCTTCCTCCAGAAAATATTTACCAGGACCGGCATCATAACATCCTGGGGGATAGCAAGGAGCCGAGTGCTAGAAGAGGCAGTTCATGCTCAGTGACTGAGGTGTGAGGTCGCACAGAAAACTCAAGGCAGAGAGATGCACCACAGTCGGACCCTTTGCTGGGCTGCACTCACCCCCATCCTGCAATCTTGCCCCGCTGGCCCAAAAACACACAATGCAAGTCAAAAACCATGTGGCAAAATCACGGAGGCCTTTATTAAACAAAAAACATCACAAGGGGAAGCTTTTGTTTCTCTGTGTGGCCTCCATCTAGGCCTCTGCACTTCTGAAGGTGACATGTCCATCTCTGACCATGGAGGTGAGGTTTTTCACTCTGCAGGGCAATGAATGCAAAGCCTGGGTGATCCACCATGCAATGTGCCAGCCGTCTTGAAAAAGCACCCAACAGAACTCGGTGCCTCGGCCATCCCATGAAGAAGGCACTCCTTTAACACCAAATGGCCAGAGACAAAGACGGATGGCATAATCAACTCCACATCATGAGAAATCCTCCTTTCTCCAAATGCTAGCAATTTGAGTTCAGTAACTTAAGTCTGAACCCATTCTTATTTGAGGTCTCCTTTTAATTTGCCCCAGAAATCGGTGCAGGCACAGGTCTGTTCATGATCCCAAACCATTACAGCCTGGCACTGCCCCTGGTTGCCTGCAGCACGCAGAATGGGGCCGAGTCTCCCTGCCCACTCTAGTCAGTCTAGAAACATGTGGCCACTGCCTGAAAGAAACAGCGAAACAGACGCCCACGGAACCCAGGCAGCCCCGCATCCCCGACTTACAGCGCCAGGGGGTGCTCTTAAGTCAATGCTTTCAGAGGGACACCAGAGATTCCATGAGTTTAACACAAGCGCACTGGTCAGAAGCCAATGACCGAGTTGGAATAACGTAGTGCTCTGGAGAAAAGACAGCACAACCACGTGGCCCAACGTCTCCTTCTGGCGCCCTTTACAGCCAAATCTGTAAAGCGTCCCTTCCACAGAGCAATTTCCTGGGATTCAGCTGCCAGAACACAGCTACCCATGTGAGAAATGTGACTGCCCTGGGCAGGAGCCCAGTAATCCACCTTAGAACAAGAAATCTAGGTAACTGAAGGCCCATTAAAAGTGGAGTTCTGACTGACAGCGACCCTGTGTGCACAGGAAACCCCATCATCACGAGGGTTATGTGTGAGCCCACTGGTGCAGCCAGCAGACCAATCCAGCTCACGGAGGGTCTCTCTCTCCGATGAGCTTCTACTTCCCCCGCATTACGCCCTCCTCCCGGGGCTGGTCCCTCCTAAGAACACGTCCAAGGCAGGGAGCCAGTGAGCCACAGACCTGACATGAGGAGCACTGCGGTGCCGCAGAACACACTGTGCCTGGTGTGGGCACCATGGTGGCTTTGTTTGACCGCCGCTATGTCCATCCAAGCTCCACAAGGGGTTCCTGGGAAGAGCCCCAGGATACACCCACCGGTTCCAAGGGCAGAGCAACCAACATGCACCCGAGCATTCATCTCTGTTCTGACCGTCACCTCCTGGGCAGCAATCTTCGCTGGACATTACCTCCAAAAGGGTAATAGCGCCTGTGAAATCCCGCTGGGAAAGGAGCTCCTCTAGCTTTGGAATCTTCCTACCTTTCTTCTTCCTTTTGCTCGATTGCGGGAGCTCCCCGCCTACAGCAGGTTTGGCCCTCGAGAGCATCTGTGAAAGAGACAAGGGCAGCCGTGAGCGTCACCCCCCCATCCCTGGGGTCCTGAGCGCGGGGGAGCGTATCGACTTCTTCTGGCAACACAGAGTCTAATAAAGGAGTCGTCTGCGGGACCAAAAGCTCCTTCTCCTCGGCCAGCCCCGGGGCGCAGACTGGTCCGGCTGCTGTCGTCCAAGGCTGCCCTCGGTCTCTCCTCTCGCCCGCCGCGGCTTAGGACCGCGGGCAGGGGAGGCAGGCGGGAGGAAGACACCCAGGGGGCTCCTGACAGTTGCTCTCTGTTCCCGCGGGAGCCCGGGGAGAGCAAACGCCCGCCACCGACCCCTGCGCTAAAGCCAGACGGGTCCCGGAAACCGTCTCCAGCCCAGGCGCCCGCGCCGAGTTCCCCCTCGCTCTGCGCGGCCACTAACCATCTTGGCGCCAGTCCACGGAGCCCCCTCGGCCGACCGCCCGCCAAGGCGCAACCTGGGCGCGCCGCCACGTCCGCTCGACGCGCTCCGTTTCTACGGCAACGCCGCCGGGCGGCTGGGCCTCCGCGAGCAGCGCCCGCCGGGAGCCTGGGCCGCCCGCGTCCTGGTTCCGCTGCGCCTCGGCCGTGGGAACGCGGCGCTTTCCTCTCCACGAGCCGGGGTTTCCCACGGTCTCTGCCGCTGCGCTGGCTTCAGGGATGGGGGGCCTCGTGTTCGAACGTGTGAGCACGGCTTCCAAAGGCAAGTTTCTCGGGGAAGTCTTTTCGGGGACCCACTTCCGGTTTGGACCGCGTTGGGCTCCATAGCAACCACCTGGGCGCTGCTGGCACGTGACCGGAAGCTTGGAGAAAGCCTCGCCTGCGACAGGGAATGAACGTTTGGAAGCTGCGGCGCCCCAAAAAGAATGCACCAAAAGGTTGCTTGTTACCTTAGAGATACCTATACCCAATTTTTTAAAAAAGGTCATATTTATTTGTTGATTGAACGACTAAATGTGTGCCTTACTCTTGAATCCACTTAGCTCAAGCGCAAGAATAGGATTTAAAGGATGTCCAGACAACCCTCAGAAAAAGGAACGGACTGAGGAACTAGCATCTGAAGTAACTCCCCAAGTTTACATCAGCAAAGGTGGCATACTTAAGTCCCATTATATACCCCCTGAGTAACTTGTAGCACTATACAAACCCACATATTGCATAAGATCTGTAAGGTAGTCGAGAGGTGCCAGAAACCAAATCAGTCGAATTAGAACAGGTTTTATTGGGGAGAAAACCCCAGCCTGGGCGAAGACCCATGATCCACAGTTTTCAGGCCGGGGGAGTCGCACTGCAGGCTACAGGGGTGATGCTTATATATGGACAGGTATATCCGGGTTTCTGGAATGTAAGGTGTCTTCCTGGTTCCGAGTGTATTCCTGCGGGTGCAGAGTGGTGGGCGAGAACAAAGCGGGCACTGAGTCAAACGGGCCCTGCCGGTGCCGGGTGCAGAGCGGTAGGCAGAGAACAAAGCGGGCACTGAGCCAAATGGGCAGTGAGCAAAACGGGCCGTGAGTAAAAGAAAGAAAAAAAAACTTGCAGACAGTTACATAGCCAGCTCTGGTCAGCTCCGCAGGTGTATGTGGGAGATTCAAGGCCACTTGCTGCTAGTTGTTTCAGCCAGCTCTGGTCAGCTCTGCACAGGTGGGGGAGATTCAAGGTCACTTGCTGCTAGAAGCCGGCCTGGTATTGATCCGGCCATACAAGATCCTAAAAAGCAGATACAATTTCTTAGATTCTTTTACATCTTCGTCATGCTCAAGCCCTCACCGCCCTTCTGTGAATCAACGAATGACTTATTAGGTTGTCAGGGATTTCATTTTGTTTGGATCTACAATCAGTACTAAGGGAAGCAGCAGTCCAGAGAGCCAACAGTGCATTGCATTGGGTAAATCTGCTGCACAGGACCTCCCTAAAGTGTTGTAGGTTGGTACTTTGAGGACTAAGGAGTGTCTTACCCAAGCCATGATTGTTTCAGTCAAATCATATGAATGTGAAAGTTGGACACTAAGGAAGACCTAAGAAGAATCCATGCATTTGAATTGCGGTGCTGAAGAAGAATGTTGAAAGTACTATGGATTACCAAGAGAATAGACAAATCTATCTTGAAACAAGTACAACCAGAAAGCTTCTAAGAAACAAAGAATGAGCCTTCATCTCACACCCTTTGGACATGTCGTCAGGAGAGACCAGTCCCGGGAGAAGGACATCATGCGTTGTAAAGCAGAGGGCCAGTGAAAAAGAGCTCAATGAGCTCGAGGGTGATAATTAAGAGGATGATACAGGACTAGGTGGTGTTTCCATCTGTTTTACACAGGCCCCTATGAGCCAGAACCAACTCAGAATTCCAAAGAATAGCTTGAAAAGACAATCAGTGAAATGTGCAAAGACCTGGAGTTAGAAATCCTAAAAGAACATCTCAAGCTGCAGGAAGTGAAGAACGATTCAAGCTCTCATTGGCAATATTAAATTATTCTGTGAGCAAAATACTGAACAGTATGTGGTGATACTGGGAGGGTGGAGGGAAGGTGTGGTAGAAAGAGGGAACCAATTACAAGGATCTATATATAACCTCCTCCCTGAGGGACGGACAACAGAAAAGTGGATGACGGCAGATGTCGGACAGTGTAATATATGACAAAATAACAATAATTTATAAATGATCAAGGGTTCATGAGGGAGGGAGGAGGGGGAAAATGAGCTGATACCAAGGGCTCAAGTAGAAAGAAAATGTTTTGAGAATGATGATGGCAACAAATGTACAAATGTGCTTGACACAATGGCTGTATGTATGGATTGTGATAAGAGTTGTACAAGCCCCCAATGACATGATTAAAAAAAAAGGGGGGGGTCAGTGAGAAGAGTAAAAAGAGGACACGTCTGTCTTGGTGAGGTGGGGGATTGGCACTGTGGCTGTAACAGCAGGCTCAAACATCACTGGGAAAGGACTTGAGAGCAACTAACAGAATTTTTAAAAATTCAGGTTTTTTCCCCGATGGGCGAATCTGCTGCACTAGACCTTTTTATGATTATGTGTCTTTTGAACTTTGTTATTAGGACCTAGTGCAGACATCATGCCATTCTATAGCTCAGTCATATCCAGCAGTGCTGTATACTCCCTACCAACACATACAGTATTTGGTTTTTAATACTCCATTGTATCCATTCATCCCATGGTAGCCATTCAGATTCCTTTTACTTTTGTTGGCTGCTTTGAACACTCATGTCCAAGTTCTTGCATGCCCCTATATCCTCAATTCAGTTCAGCAGGTGCCCAGGAGAGGAAGAGCGTAGCCCTATGTACTTCTGTCTAATTGATTGAGGAACTGGCAACGTTTTTTCCACGCCTGCTGCACCACTTGACAACACCACCACCATGTCCTCCACTTCTTCTGTGGCCCTTGACCTTGCCTGTCTTTTGTATGACTGCAAGTGCCGCGGGCGGGAAGTTGCCTCTGGGGGTTTTTGTATCTGGATAACAAATGAGCCAGAGCGATTTTTTTCATTTGCCTCTTGGTGTATCTTCTTTAGAGACATGGTTAGTCAAATGTTTCTCCCACTCTCCTTTCTTAGGATGGAGTTACAAGAGTTCTTTATACATTCTGGCTGTGTTCAGCAGTCAACGGGAAGACGGATCCTTACAGATGTCATTCCTGCCAGTCTGAATGAGTGTCCTCCCTGTTGGGCAGCCGACCTCCCCCGAGCCAGTGAGCCAAGAGTGGTTGCCTTTGTGCCTGGTTCGGGAAGTCACGCTGTCATTTCTGTAATATCCTGTCTATTACATGGGTCAGCCCTATTTCGTGGGGGCACAGGGACTACCCCAGCCAAACCCACAACGGTGGCATCAGTTCCAACTCAGCAACCCTGCAAGATAGAGGGGCACTTCCCACTGGGTCCCGAGGCTGCCATCTTCCCAGAAGCAGATGGAAACACCTTTCTCCCTCGGAGCAGCTGCAGACTTCAGACTGCTGACTTCTTGGTCTGCAGCCCGGCACTTGACCCATGGCACCACCAGACTTCCTGGAGAGGAATACCCAAGGTATAAAAAGGTGGTAGTAACTTATAAGAAGCCAATGAAAGATTTTCTTTTACTCTTTAAAAAAAAAAAAAAGGTTTAGTAAGCTCTCATTCACACATCCTCCAAGTCAACAGCTCACTCATATTAAGAATCAGCCTTGGAACATATTCTTCCCACTGGGACCCTTTGGTGTTGACTTCCCTTCCACCCCACCTCCTCTTTCTAGCCCCGAGGGTAATTATTGCTTCAGAGACTGTCTTCCTCCATCCTCAATATATGAAACAAGGACAAACAGCAGAAAAAAAACAAATACATAAAAGACCTGGCAATAGTGATCCTATGAAACAGTGACAGACCTCAGTCCAAGAGAAAGCAAATGATATTAAACATTCTAGGATAACTTGAAAATCGGGTCCAAAGGGGGTTCATGAGGGAGGGGGGAGCGGGGAGGGAGGGGAAAAATGAGGAGCTAATGCCAGGGGCTTAGGTGGAGAGCAAATGTTTTGGAATGATGAGGGCAATGAATGTACAAATGTGCTTTACACAATTGATGTGTGTATGGATTGTGATAAGAGTTGTGTGAGCCCCTAATAAAATGATTTTTTTAAAATTAGTTAAGAAAAAATTAGTGACGAGTCTCAAAGGCTTGTATTCAAATAAGCAGCCATGTAAGTGAGGAGTCAACTAAGTCCACACAGCTTGTGTGATCCAAAGATAACAATTACAAAACTCAGATATGATGAATAGAAAATATCAGAGCTAAAATTATGAACACTCAATTTGTAGAAGGCTCTAGAGGACAGTGGGAGCCCCAACACCATCTGCAGTACATATAGTCAGATCGAATCTGCCATAGCTAAAGGGAAGAGTCCCAAACAGCCTTATTAGCGGGCAGAGACCATTGTAATCTTGATTATGCTGGATCAAACTTGAAACTTGGCCAGCCAACTTCCCCATAGACATGACCTGAAGTAGTACTGGGTGCAAGCATCTCTTAGTTGTTCCATGACAGAAATTTCTCTCCTTGCCTTTTGAATGTTGATGGGGGCCTTCTCCCACTGATACATTATTTGTATTTTTGTCTTTACACTAATATGTTTGTATCCTTACCACCTTAATGTGATTTGTTTGCCATTGTTTCCTGTGGGTTGTCTCAGCTGTGAAGCACTGGATGAATGGATGTGTAATTGTAATAACCAATACAAGGTGATATGAGGAATGTAGGGGTGGGGCATGGGTGATAGGGAGGGAAAGGGGCTTTGAGGGTAAGTAATGAAGGTAGGAGGAGAGGGAGCACTGGAGCTGATCATGATTGCACAGCTCATTTTGGGGTGATTCAACCATGGGGGGAGGGAATGCTCTAGCACGGGTGTGGTGCTGAGGGTTCAATTCCCCCTTGACATTATTGAGTGATTGAACTA